GTAAAAAAAAAAAAAAAAAAAAAACTAAAGAAATACAACTCGTATCACGAATTCAATGATGCGGGTACCATTCTTTACTTTTTTTTTTTACTTTCAACTTAATGTCAGTAAATATCTCATCGACCAACCGATTTGCTATTGTTATCAATCATTGTAAAAAGCATTGTACCGTGCTAAATACATCCTCTAAATGCTTTCACCATCTCATCCAAATCACTACACTACATTATTGTTAGCACTCTTATTATTCCAAAATGAAAAACCATATTCTCCTTAGGTGATACAAAATAAGTTATTTTTTTATCAGGAATATATTAATGGTATTACGTTACGGAAAATGACAATTGCTAATAGGCTTTCTATCAGGCTAAAAGTCTAAATGTTTTCTCCATCTCATCCAAATAACTACACTATATCATTGTTCGCAATCTTATATTCCACAATGAAAAACCATATTCTCTTTAGATGATGCAAAATAAGTTATTTTTTATCAGAAACATATTGATGGTATTACGTTACGGAAAATGATAGTTACTAATAAGCTTTCTATCAGCATTACCGGTTCTTGATTAAGCTCTTTTGAAATGATTGTTTACAATTATCAGATGATTGAGAAGAAAACGATAAAAACTTATTTGTTTTTAATTAATTTCGTTTCTTTTTTAAGTTTGAAAATATTATAAATTAAATGAAATTTTAAAAGATGTAAATTATATAAAATTTAAAAGCTGGTATATATATATATTAGATAGATAGATATATGGTTTAAACTTCACTTGCTTTTGGGCTACCCGTGAGAGGTTTTCTTGACTATATCTCTGTATTACACAAATATGGGTTATCTTTAATCGAAATTTCTTCCACGAAGGCTAGTTTATGTCTCCCCAGAAGTCTTTTTGTTTTCGGGTTGGGTTCAAAATTATAAGGCTTCAGAATTGAATATACAGTTACAAACCCAGTAATAGGTAGGCTGTTCAACCCCCATTATATGTAAAATAAAACCACTAGAATAATCTCAAATGACAATAATTAAACATGTTAAGATATGATATCTGCCATAAAACTATGGGTTGGTCCTTACCCAATATAAAGGTGTTAAATTGACAGCTCTATTCAATCGTTTCTGAATGTTTCCTAGTAAGACCTGTGGTCTTTTCCAAAAACATTCAGAATCGAAGAATGTTTTCTCAAATTTCTATTCAAATTTCGATCTATGTTTTTTCAAATTTCAGGATATACCAGCAGAACATAACTCCAGGAGCAATAATGTTATGATTAAGTTAGTAACAAACAGCACAAATACTGGATCAGGTTTCCTGATTCACTTCAAGAGCAATAGTTATTGTAAGTATTTATGACTGGTTAAAATATTAATGTACTTGTTTATTATTTAATATTAATTACTTTTAGAGTAATTCATCAGGAAGTTACTATCACTAATTATATTGACTTTCACTTATTATACTAGTTATTTCACTGATTTAATTCTGTAATACTCTTTTTTTTCTTTCTGTACATAATGTGGAGCTATTTGGTTTTGCAGCAGTTTTTAATTTGAAGGAGTTTGCATTTTTTAAATAATTTAATTAGTTCAATATCAAGAAAAACTTCGGAAAAAAAATTCCCAACTCTGAAAAGAAAAATGCACACGTACCCTAACGGAAGCATGCTACAAGAACGAATCAACCCTCTTCAAATTCAGACATTCTTCTCTTACGAAAATAATTTCCATGAAAAAAACAAATAAGAATGTCTTTTACATTTTGTTAGATTTCTTACATTTTGGTCCCAGATAGCAAAATAAGGTTTATTTTCACTCAACAAAAACCTTTTGATGTAAACCTAAAAAGGTTTGTTGTGCGGTTTACATGTAAGCCTTCTAACATTAAAACGAGATCTGTGACTATCTGCTCTATTCTAAGCACATTACCCTAATCCAAAACATAGGAGAACAACCTTCTATATAAAAACCTTAAATCGAGATTGACTTAGGTCTTTCAAACGTGAAAAAATCCTTTAACAAAGCTATAGTTTCAGTGTGTAAATAATCTTAAATCTAGGTAATTATAAGGTTTATTTTTCGCAAAGTCTTGTATGCTCAGCTAAAATCCACCTTGTAATGAAATTTTAATGGACAATGCAATTTGATCCTATCGCTAGTGTGACGTCAGTTATAACGTCATTATGGACATAAGCAACGCCTCCACACGGTTTTTTATAGGTAGTCCGATCAGACCACTGTGAAGGATATCCCCTAATTGAACGAGCCATTTAATATAGAATATAGTTAAAATAAGAAAGTGGTAGCAAATATATGACTAAAAATTTATTTCATTTATGAATATTATTGGTTTGCCTTATTTACTTGTCAACCACTACAGATTCAATTTTCAAATATATAAGATAAATTTCTCTCAATTACTTTTATAAAATGAATTTTCCACCCGGCATANAACGTTTACTCATGCTGATACAATTCTGAACAACTCCAAAATCAAACAAACACAGTTTAGAGCAAGCTGCTCAATTTATTTTTGATTCCTTTTTAGTTATTCAAGCAAAGAGCTTGAAACATTCATAAAAGCAACTCCATTGCCTGCTTACCTCATTGTTCAACCAAAACTTTTCTAAAATTCCAGATGAATGGAATAGGGGCCGCTTCGCGGCCCAGGTGCCCAATAAAATCGAAACACTAGGACTAGGACTTTTATAAAAGGTTTTTGGGTTCATGCGCACAACTGCTTCACTTTTTAAACAGTCTGCGCGAACTACTTATAAGAAACCGTGTGGAGGCTTCTTGATGTAGGAGGTGATGACATATGTGATCATTTTACCTAAATGACAATACTTTTTAAAAAAGCTTTAAAAAATAATTTTTAATCCCTTTAGAATGAAAGGTTTGAAACTGCAATAATTTTGTTTTATTGAGAAAAGGTTTTTAGTGCAAACATTGTCGTGACGATAAAAAGAAAATTACGACACAAGCTTGCTCAGGCCTGCAAGCGAGACGGAAAAGAGAAAACACTGGTAGTAAAACTATTTCAATAATAGTTAATTTTCGGAAGGAATACCTCTATTCTAACAATAAACAATCCTCTGTTATTAATTTATTCTCGGGGAAGAAGCCATTCAATATCTAAATTGAGTCCATTAAAAATAATTGGTAGTTATGGATAATTTATTATTCCCGAAAAAAAGCGAAAAATGAAATTTATTTGGTACCAGTTTTTACTCTTTTCCGTCTTGATATATATAAACTTTCAGCCTTGAGCTTAATGTAAGGTTACATGCTTTCTGAGATTTGTTCTATTCATTCGCATGTTTAAAATACTCGGAATGTAAAGGATTAAGTTTTGAATTAATAACTTACCTTACGAAAGATTAGAACCTATTTTTTGTTTTGCAGTTTCATCATCAATGACACCATTGATTCAGCGTGAAGATGGTATGGATAGTGACGACGCATACTTTTTGATGACTCCCCAAAGTTACCAGGAGACATCTGGTTATCGTCCTCGTCATGGCTGATAATCAGAGCTAATGGAGGTTTTTCTAATTTAGCAACTACTTCAATTTAATTATTTTCGCCTCGTTCTTATTAGATTTTCATTAAATCTGAGTTACTATGATGAATATTTATGTGATTAGGACATTTTATGATAAATTTTCAACGACAAAAAAACATGTTTAATGATATAAAATTTACTACCATTATAATTATATTGGTGGACATTCCTGGATCACGTAATTAACACCTACAAGCTACTATATCAAACTAAATGCAGATTGTAACAGAAAATAGAATTAAGTAATTCGAAAAAATATTTATCAAGAAAAATGCACCTTATTATATGTCCTATTAGATATGAACTTTTATGACCCTCTGCTACAGTCCAATTTTCGAACTTTTCTCATTAATACAGAGTGGAAACTTGGCCACTTTTTTACTGTGTATTTTAGAACAACTATTTACTTTGTTAAATAGGCTTTTTAACAAAATTTGTTTTTGTTTTTTAATGTTGCGAACTATTATGCAAAACTTAATAAAAACTATTTATTATATCTATGAGTACTATTAATGTGTTTTAAAATACAATTGTTATGTCAGAAGTTATAGTTCTGCTTTATATTCTTTGTAAATAGAACAGGCGTTTTAAGGGTGCGCAATTTCCCCCACGCTCTTGGATATGTGCACTTGAATCCCCTGTGATAATATAAAAATTTCCAATTTTCTAACTATTCTCATTAATACAGACGGGAAACTTGGCCATTTTTTTCCCTCTGTACTCTGAAATAACTATTTATATTGTTAAATAAGCTTTTTACCAAACTTTGTTTTTTCCAATGTTACGAACTATTATACAAAAACTGAATAAAAACTATTTATTATATCTATGAGTGTTATTTGTGTGTTTTAAAATACAATTATTGTGTCAGAAGTTGTAACTCTGCGTTAAACTCTTTGTAACAAGAATAGGCGACTCAAGGCTACGCAATTTACCCAAGCTCCCACGTGAGTTTGAATCCAGCCGGCCGAAGACTCCCAGTGTAGTAAATGGTGACTGGTGCTCGTTAAATATGTCTAGTCACAAAGTCCTCCATTTTCTCATAACAAATCCGGGAGTACTGGATTGGAGATTGATCGTTCTCTGGTTCAGGAATCTGTGAATATGGTCCGTCCTATAAACGGGTGAGGCAGAAGTCGAATTCTCGGTCATAGATGGTGCCACTGGAAAACAAGAATAATTTCACCCCCCCCCCAGTGTCTTATAGGCCTACGACGACGACAACATCAAATTTCTCCAATTTTTTTTTCTTTTTTTTTTTTGCTAACCATATGAAAATAATATAGTCCTATTTAGGGCTAGTTATCACATGCTGAACGATTAATACCAAGATGACCTTTACATACCTGCCAACTTTTACGCATTTGGCGTATAATTTTATTTTTATATTTAAAGTGGTAGTAAATATATATATTTTTATCTTTTATAAACTTAATTTTTAAATGATTTTAATCACCACTTTTCTTAATAAAAATTAAGCACATATATAAATATGTGTTACTATTATGGTTGTCAGCTTAAGCATTTTCAAATACAATGTATTTTTTTTGCTCAAAATTGAAATTTTAATACCACTGGGAAAAATCATAATGGAAAGGATTAAAAGTTTGCAGGTATGCCTTTATGTTAACTATTTAATTTATAATTTTGCTGAACAGCGACCAGGGAAAACTAAAATACTGGTACTAAAGTTTTTACAGTGATCTTCGAAAACCCATTCCTTTACCATTCTAATATTACAATCTGAGAGCAAAAATTTATTAACAGAATTATATTTGTTTTAAATAATTGAAAAGTTAAAGTGATGCTTATCTTTTAATGTATAACAAAGATTACCACCAGTTTTTTTAATTTTTTTTCAGTTTAAAGTTTCTGGTCAGTTAAATTAAAAATACATGTTTTAACCCTCTGCATCCCGAGTACTCTAAAATTTTGTTTGAACAAATGTAAGCACAAAGTCATTTCAAAACTCATAACACAGTATTTTTTATTTAATTTTTAAAATTCTTGAAATAAAGTGGTTACTAATTATAAAGGAATAAAAATTTGTAATTTTAGAGTGGTGACTGTTGCTGACGCACCAGAGTGGAAAGGGTTAACTTTCGTCAAAAAAAAAACAAAAAAAAAAAAATTTTTAAAAAATATTGCTTTTCCTTCTTGAGGTTTTGAAATGAGACCAAGAAAAATGAGGACAAAAACAAGAAGAATGTTGGGACAAGAGATGTATTAACCTATTGAATTAATTAAGTGCAAGCCAAAATTCTTTTTCAGAACTTTTTTTAAAATTAAAAAAAAAATAATAATAAAATAAACGACACTGCACCAACTATTAAAAGATAGAATACTTCGTTTAACGGAAGACAAATACAACACTATCCAATCATAAAAGGCTAAATTAAAATTTATCAAAAATATTAAATTTAGAAATATGGGACTAAGTTATTACAAAGAAAGAAAAAAAAAGGGAAATTAATACTAAGAATATTAATACTAAGTTGAGTATTACAATTTTAACTGGTTAGACAGTTTGATCCTTAGAGTTTAATTTACAATACTAGTTATTTCCAAAAGAAATATTCGTTGAAATGGTCGAAATATCTTCCCGTTTTTAATTTTAACCCTTACATCTCGGAAAACATCAAATCTTTTATAAATTTCAGTGATTTTGGATGAACGAAAATCAACCTATTTTTTGATATCTCCCACCCTCGGGTGAGGTTAAATGCTTAAAGAGTAAAATATATTTCTTATAAAAACGAGTTTTTGTTTAACAGAGTGGAGTGTTTTACACGTTTGTTTTACAAATTTTTGGGGGGGAGGATGGTTTTTTACCGAATTGTACCCTTTTAACTCAGGATTCTTTCATGCTTGAAAAAAAAAAACGCAATTTTTTAAAGTTAACAAAACAAAACTCATTGTTTGTAAACTTTCCTAATAAAACCTGGAAACCACTAAAATTGTTATTAAACATTAGGAGAGAGGCGCGATGGCTCAGGGGATAAAGCGTTCACCTTCCATTTAGGTAAACCAGGTTCGAATCTCAGCGATGGCAGGACGATACGAATTCCCCATCCGGCTTGCACCAACCACAGTGGTAGTAAAAAGTGAACCGGCTGAGCGTATTAACCCAAATTCTATTTTAAGAGTGACTAAGGGAAATTTATCATATATATTTGAAAATTGAATCTGTAGTGGCAGACAAGTGAATAAAACAAACCAATCATATTCATAAATTAAACAAATTTTTAGACATATATTAGCCATCACTTAATTTTTACTAGATTTTCAAGTTAAGAGCTCTTTCGTAAACTGGTTTTGTCTTCATAGAAAGCCTTAAATTTCTAAACACCGCGTTTAAGACCTACAAGATCTAAGCGTGAGAGCATATTGCAACAACACTTTGAGGAACTACACAATTTGATTACGCAAATCAACATCTATTTAGGGTTGTTTTATCAGCAGTTAACATTTTTCTCAGCCATTTAGTCATGGTTTTTCAAATTCCGATATTTTTAATAAGATATTATTAAAACACACGCATTTCGTATGAGAGTAATCACTTTTTGACAAACTGAATTCGCAATGATACCACCCTAAATCAACATTGCTTTCCGATCATTTTTTAGGCCAATTTCACATGGTTTTTTAAATTTTGATATTTTTTTTCAATTAGTATGATGACATGAGAATCATTAACTATCATTACGCATTTGAGTCCAAGGCTACATTGCTTAGCAAAACTAACATTTAGTGAAACACAGGTTTGTTGTTTCTACTCAAAGTCATTAATACATATAGAATGTCTATTTGTATTGGCAATATATCAGAGGGCCAACAAAATTGTTTTGTGAGATTACTAATCCTGCTCCAAGTTATTAATGAATCATAAATTGCAGATACATGAATTGAAGATTCATTATGTATCTAAAGGCCAAGAAAATTGATTTGGAAGACACAGGTTACTAATTTTGCTCCAAGTTATTAATGCATTCTGAATTACGAATACATGAATTACAGATTTATAATGTATCTAAGGGAAAACAAAGTTGATTTGGAAAACACAGGTTTACTAATCCTGCTCCAAGTTATTAATACATTCTAAATTGCAGTTACATGAATTGAAGATTCGTGATGTATCTAAAGACCAACAAAGTTGATTTGGAAGACACATGTTTTCTATCACCGTTCTAAGTTACTAATGCATGCTAAATTGCATATACAAATATTTATCGATTCGTTTATAAGCTTAATATAAATAATAATTTTTAAAAAATGAAAGACACAAATAAAACACGAAACAGCTTTTTTTAAACAAATGAATATAATGCAACGCTTTATTTTGAATAAACATTATTACAAACTTCATCCTCTTCTTAATTCCAAAAATAGTACAAGTAAATGCAACCTTAAACCAGATCCCTTTTTTAACTTCTGAATGTCTCTTGTTCATATACTGCTTTTTGTATATCATAATACTAGTCACATGCACACAACTATTATGCATGGGTATAGCAAACAGCATGATCAACAACAAATGAGTATAAGACAGACAGAATATTTTTAGGGGATCACTTGTTTTGCACTAATATACATTAGGTTTTTTTTTTATGGCAAAAAAATCGAGGCACAAAATCACTTTAAAAAATTTAACTTCTAATAATCAATAAAGATAATATATGTATATATATCATTTTTTTTTCTTATTTTTTTCATTTGAAGTCACAATTGCTCCAGCAATGTTGTTTGTAAAACAGCACCAAATACATTAGTGCTCTGGAAAAGGATCAAAATTACGTAAGCTCCAAAAAGTGTAAACTCTGATAGTATATGGACAGTGCATGAAAATGTGTAGCCTTTGATTTTATATAAACATAAACCATTTTTAATTAGAGGTGGACAAATAGAAACAGCATCTGCATTAGTTTATCGATACACACTCAGTTCCTAAGGCAAAATTTTACATTTTTACAACATTTAACACTCTAAGACTAAGAAGCATATAATAGCAGTATACGAAACGCTAGGATATATGAGTTTAATGATATTTCATTTTATATTATATGGCAGTTATAGTGGGATATTTAACAAAGTTCTACACTTGAAAGTAGTGGAAATTCTAGAATATATGAGTTTGTCGAAAGGTGAAGTGTTTTTATTATATATAATGCAGCTACATTGGGTACTTAAATATTGCTTGACAGGTAAAAGAAAGTATTACATATAAAAATTTTCAGAGTGAATCTGAATATGCAATTTATAAAAAATAAAAACGAAAATCGTAGACCACGCTGAAAAAAATCTAAATTGCTCACCTTTTGGCTCTAAAGGCCCAGATTTTGATGATATTTGCCCTTTTCGACTCGTTTATTCGATATAGGCATTTTATTAGGGCATTTTTAAGGCGTTCTTTACATAAGTTTTCTCTTTTTACCTGGCTTTTTTTTTAAGCATTTTTATACACTTTTAGAAGAACTAGTTTCTTCTTACAATTTTAACTGAGTTTTATTATTTAATGCATTACAGTTTGTAAATATTACTCTAAAATACAGAATAATTCTAAAATGTATCAATTCTTCATAAACACACTTTTGTCATGCTATGTCTGACGAATCGCCACTGAGCAAAAACAACATCGATGATTGTAGTATTTGAAACTCTGAACAAAATTTTCAAAAACAAGAGTTTTTTTTTTACCATTTTTAAGAGCATTTTTTCCCCTCATTTGTAACGTCATCAAAATCCAGGCACTAGTTATATAAGTTTACATACTTCTTAATGAGAGTGGTTGACAACTTTTCAGACCATCCCTATAAGTTTTAAGATACTTCGACTTGCTCAAACGTATTAATATAATGCACTTAATAAACATGATTTTGATAATAATTTAATTGGAAAATTAAGTTCATCTTTAACTTAATAGTTCATCAAAATTAAAATAAAAAATAAAGCAAAAAACTCGGTTTTTCTTCTTATAATAAAAAATTTATAAAATAAATGTATTTCATTAAAAATGCTACAAAAAATTGGTATAATCTGAGTAAATAGAGAGCTCTAATGTGCACTTATCATAATGTGCTCTAATGTGCACTTCACATATCTAATGCCACAGTTGTTTTTTTTTTTTGTTTGTTTGTTTTTTTTAAACCTGATTTAGTGCAGTTATTGTTCATAAGAGGTTATAAATGTTTAGAGTATCAAAACCAATGTAAATATATATAGAATAAATATATTACTACTGATAACAAATAGGTACTAGCAAAAATATTAATTTTCACCACTGTTATAAATTATATGTTATAAGCAGACTAATGCAATCCATGGAGTAAACATTAATGCTTATTTATACATATTTATATTAAGCTGAATATGGCTGTCAATTATAATTATATTTAGAATGAATTTTAAGATATGAACAATAGTTTACTTAAGACAAATATGAGAATAAGTTTTGTATATCACATAATTGTAAATGCAAAATATATAAAATAAATAATCATAAATTAGAAGTTTCGATTCTGATATAAATATACATTATTTTGAATATGGAATTAATTATTAGCTAAATAACATCTAAAATTTTAAATTGACTACTGATGCTTGTATTATTTTTTATGATAACTATTTGTCCATCTCTAATTTTAATACTTAAATTGATGTAAAGAAAACATCCAAAAAACAATTCCATATATTGCCTCAAAGAAAAGTTTGTAAAGGGAAGCCATTATTAGTAAAAATTTGTAATATAACACAAAAAAGTTAGCTTGTATTTTAAACGCTTATTAAATATTGCATGGTAGTATATAAAAAAGATATAAGACTTCAATTTGTACATTACAATAAAATAAAATACAGAAAAAGCTTGTAGCTAGAGTAAATAAGATAGTGTTGCAAGATGTACAAGAGTTAAGAGTGTCATATTAAATTTAGAAAATAGAGGGGAAAGGAAAAACCAGAGTTGTGGAGTGAGTAGTTAAAAAGTTTGACAATTAACTTTTCCGAAAAATTACTTACTTATTATTCTAGATTCTGAAAATACTTCTATTTTTTTATGTACGAAAGTAATTAAAGGCATGTTATTAAAAGTTACATTTTATATTATAGCATAACTAACTTCGTAAAGTAAATAAATTTTGTAACTAAGTTAATTCACTAATATAATGAATTATAACTTAATAATCATGCTATTCAATTTTGAGTATTTTTGTTCATATAATCATAAAAAATTTCTAGACACACTTTATAAAAATTAAACACTTCTTTTCTTAAGCTATAAGACCGAACGAACTAGTAACCAACTTTGGTTAAACTAAGTGAAGTGGAATTTAATATTTTATAATAAAAAAAAATAAGTAATTTTGTAAAAGGTAAATTAGTTTTGCAAGTTAGTTAATTTACTAATATGAAAAGGTACAACTTAACATAATATTCAAGTAACATTTTCGTCCAAACAATCAAATACTTGTCTCATATTTTCTCAGAAGATAAAGTTCATTATTCATTTTTGCTTTTGAGCTGTAAGACCAAACTTTTTGCTAACTGAAGTGTTGGAGTCAAACAAATATTTCACACTCCACAAACCTGAGGAAAACACCCACAAATGATGACACAATATGTGTATATATATATATTAATACATCTTGGAGCACTACCCTACTCTAGCTAACTACTGCATCACAGTATTAAAAATAATGAAATTTTACTCTTCTACTATGGCAAACTATTCCTTATTATTTTGCAACAATGTAATCAAGCCTCGACTAGTGTAAAGGTAGCATAGTTTTTACACAGATTAATCAATAATTATCTGCAATATTGTTGCAAGTTCACTGTTCTTAAACAGCACCACAAAATTATATATATTTTTACGTTGCACCACGCACATACAATTACTCCAAAAGTTGAAAATACAACTAGTTTCCATCTAAATGAGAGATTTTGAAAGTGAATTGCTACTTATTGGGGGGGGGGGGAATATAAGATTAAGAATAGGTTCTGTTCTAGATAAGAAGCTATTTGAAATATTTCTTTTATGCAAATAAAACTTTTAAATTAATAAATTTTCAAAAATTGAGGACACAATTTTTAAATTATTATATAAAAGAAAGAAAATAAGCTTTACTAGATTGCAAGAAGGCGCTGTGCATAAAATGAATATACTGGAGAAGTTTCTGTATGAAGAAGCTGAGAGAATGAATTCCATGCAGAAAAAGAGTAAATTCTCTTTAGAGGGAAAAGGGGTGACCAAATTAACTTACATTAAGTAATAAGGAAGTAATTTATTTACATCTTTGAGCTTTTTTTGCTTCCTTTAAACCATTGAACCTTTACCAAATTTAAATTTTAAGACTGTAACCATTTATAAAAAATTTAAAAAAATCTAATATCATATTTTAAAAATATTTAGTCTTAAAATTTGATAACTAGGATCAATTGAACAAAACAAAATGTGACAAAAATATTCAAAGAATTAATTAGTGGCTTATATAAAGTAATCTCATTCATATAATTTTCGTTAACTTGGGAGCAGAATCCTTCAATTGTCTACAGCATACCTTTATTCAACAAAGGATTTTGTGGGGTCAAGGTTTTTTAAAATTCCACACACACTAGAATTAATAAATGGTTATAATGGGATTTAATTTGAATGAATTTTATTTTATTAAACAAACATATTTTAAGGACAAACCTAAAAATTCTTTATGGCTTAATGGCTCATTTGGAAAAAATATCAATACAACATCTTTTAGTTGCACTGCATATGAGGAAATTGCATCTCCCCCTAGAGACGAATTTGGGGCTAATTTTTAAAGGCTCACGGGTTCATTCAAAACCCATTATATTATTTGAGATATAGATCAAGTTAAATGCCACTCCATCTTCAGTGACTAAACAAAAAATACCATTATACAAAAAAAAAAAGCTTTATACTGAGGAGTTCTTATTATCTTGCACTCCCACATAAAAGAGTGTATTCTCAACTTTTGTAGCTACTTTTAAGACATATCAAATTGTGCAACTGCTTTTAAAATTTAGTGCAACTATGAGTGTGCTCTAAATGCACTAATATATAGTAATACAGTATAATTTAATGTAACTAAGCAACATTAAAAATAATATTAAATTATGCAGATAATTATTGATGACCTTTTAAAAAATATTTCAATGTTCATACAGTCAGCAGAAAAACTGAATTCAGTTTTGACAGAATGTAAACTAGTTATAATATAATCGTTAATTTTAACAAGAGGTAGTAAATACTGCATATAAGAATCATTTAAAAATATTATAGTACATAAATGTCTCTAAGGAATTTGAACAGTTAACAAGGTACTTGGTAGATATAAATTTTCAATGACATAATGTTTATTTATCAAAATAGGAAACATTTAATACAAGATAAATTTTTAATACACGATATCTGTATATATAAAAAAAAATTATGTATTTTCTTTCCTTAAAAGGTAACATAAATAATATTGCTGTTGAACAAGATGTTAATAAATCGAAGTTACAATAATACTTTATATGATAACTATGAAAAATAAGCTAAATGTATAGTTTATTTCTCATAAAACTATTTAAGAAAGTAAATAAAATAAAAATTTTAAAAAGTTTGCTTTGGACTAGAGCAAAAAAGGTTTATAAAAAATATACTGTAAGAAGGCAATTAAGTTTCAAATGAGTATTTTACAAATAAGTATAGAAAGAAACAAAACATTTGTATAAATTATATACCAAATGCTTGAGTTTTGTGCATTTAGTTAATTTATTCATTTGTCTTATAAATTAAATAAATCTATCTGAGAAAAATTATTATTAAAAGTCTAAATATAAATGGGGAGGAGCTATAATTAACAATCACAACAGTACTTTAAATTAAGTTACAACAAAAAAATTTGTTCATAAAGAGAAAAATTAGTATTGCAGGTAATCTAACAAATAAATAAAAATACTAACTGATATATATTTTAACAAATTGTAAGGTAACTATAAATAGCAAATATTATTGTATATAATAGGTAAATAAAAAACTACCTTCATAATTTCTTAATTTTAAAAAAAATGCAATTTAATTTCAAACAAAACTTACAATTACAGAAAAATAATTTAAACAAAATGATTTTCTTTCATGTAAATTATAAAACAAATTTAAGTTAAACTGTTTTTGCTTTTTTTTAAACACTGTTCAACATTTTCATATATGTAAACAGTAAATAAACAGAAACAATAAATATCAAAGTATCAAAATTTATAAATATCAACAAGCATTTGCAGTCAATAAATGTTACAAACAACACTACAATAAAATAACCTTTTGCTGAAAACCCAGCAATCGACATTAGATTTTTAAGATTTTACTTAAATATGGGGTATTTATTAAACACTATTCAAAATACTAACGTTCACAAATTTTTTTTTTTAAACATTGTGTAATAGTGAATCAACCAGCTGCTGTGTCTTTGCAGCTAGGAAAGTTATTTTTGTATGATTGTAGCTACTATAGTGCCTAAATCATTATTTTATCAAGATTAAATATTTCATAACAAATATTACAATTATCAGAAAATAATAGTGTATATTGTATGCATGGTTAAGCTAAATATTTTAAAAAAGAAAAAGAAAAAATAAGTTTATAAAAAATTAAGTTTCTTTTCTAATCATTATTCAGGATTAAAACTACAAGGTCATTTTTTATTTTTATTCATTCAAACCAGTTCAAAAATTTAACCAGCTTGACTAAATAAACTTCAGTTTTCGACTAAGGCATGGTGTCTTAAAAATGGAGACCATCATAAATTAAGTGATCATACATTACCAGCTAAGACAACACAGATCGAGATAAATAATAGATATCAAATTAATGAAATATCTTTAATATTATTAGCAAAATACTTCATGATAGTTAATAAAATGTAGAGAAACAGGCTAATGCAATAAGATTATATATGCACGTAAAATTAAATTTCTTTCCAAAATCAAACTATTTCACCAATAAGAATTTTAAAAAATAAGTTAATACTAAAGGTTATTATTTTTAGATTAAATATACTCTGAGTTATTTAGTTAAATCATCAGAATATGTTTAACCTGAAAAATAGCATAGTAAAAAATTTAGAAGATATTATCATAACACATATAATTTAAATATAGTATGTACTCAATGAAGTTTATACATAAAATTAATCAAATTAAACTTATAAAATTGCATTTAGCCAAAATTCCAATATTATTGACAATCCTTTATGTGCTGTGTAAATAAATTTTCTAAATATTAAATTTAGTGTAGTGTTTTTCTTTCTTTTTTTTAAAATTAAATGCCTACAATGCACTTCTTTACTATAAGAAAGTGAAATAATTATAAAAGTCTAATATTAATTACACTAGAATATTCATTAATATTTGGTACTGTATAATAACTATACTCTAAACTTTAACAATTATCTTATAGGTTAAACTAACAAATAATTTCGTATTATCTAAATGAATAAAAAGTTTTACAAACTATAATTGATCTTAATATATTTACCGAAATATTGTATGATCAGCTCATTAGCTAGTAAAGTATCACATTAATATAGTAAATTATATGTTTAGTACATTTATACAGATTATCAACAACTATAACTATTTAACTGCTAATAATATCATATACTAAGTTACATGTCCTAAACATTAAAAGTGATTTCGCTAAATAATTCATAGTTCTTAAAGTACTTCACAAACAAATATAGAACATTCAATTCTAAAAATATGATCTTCCAATTACTTTGTAAGTACATTAAGATTGTTTATTGATAATTAATTACAACTTTGATTAATAATAATGCTATTTCACACTACAAAAACTTAATTACGATAAGGTTAACAAATTCTAGGCAATTAGAAATAAAATTATTCCAATTAGTATAACTCGAAACAATAAATCAAGGTCAGCATATTATTCTAATGCTTTTTTTCCTTGCAAAATTTAAGAAATATTGTCGCAATGACAATGTCAAGATTACAAGGTTTTTTCAATATATAAGCTAGTGTTCTTTTTTTTTAATGATTTGATTACTAAGAAGAAATTTATTGAGTAAGTTGTACAATTCGATGCATGTTAGTTTAACTATCTAAAGGGACTTCTTAACTAAAATATTTATGAAAAGTTAATAATTTTGTTGAATATGCACAAGATTAAAAATGTGAGTCAATTCGTGACCAGGTCCTAAAGTTTAAAACTAAATAATTACACACACATATATATATATACTTATAAAACCAAGAAAAATTGTTGATAAAGCAGTTTTAAAAATAGATATAACTACAATATATATATCATACAAAAACATTTAACAAAAAAGAAAAAAACTTTTAAAATGTAAATAACGAATAATTTTACTTTCAAAGCTTTGAAATCCATATAGGCAAACACAAATTCTGTATAATGCATACTGAAATATATTTTAATTTCGTGAACAAAGCAATATATAAGTATATAGGAAAACTGAAGATCACAAATTATAAACTGCAAAGAGTCAAAATAGTAAATATAAATAGAGTTACTCATACACTCATGAGAGTTTCTTTTTTTTTTCTCTTTTGGAAAAAATATTACACTTATAAATAATAAAACAAAGATTTGAAACTGAAAAAATACTAAATTAAATATAAATTAAGTTGTTGCAGAATTTTGTATTAATTTAAGCTCCGAATATTCACAATCTAAATAAAGTCAGAAAGCTTGAAGTAAGTTGGGGAGAAAAAAAAGATATCCTAGGATATAATATCACATTCAATAAAAAAAAACTATACTTTAAAACGATGTTGAACACTTAAATTATAACATAAAATAATTATGTATTAAACATTAGTAAACATATATATATATGAATATAAAAATTGAAATTGATTTCTTAATAGTTTGAGGTATAAAGACTATAGAAAGGTTTCAATTATCTATTCACACATAGGTTAATTTCATGAACAGTCAGATATAAAGTAAAAACATCACATAGCTTCAAATGAACAATTCCGAGAACTTGAAAAATGGAAGAAAAAAAAGAAGCAAGCTAAATTATACATATGCTCTAAATTATTTCTTTACAGCTATGTGACTAGACTAGCAAGTACTATAAGCTATGAAACAAAACATTATATTGGAATGTCTTATGGGCAAAAATTATAAAGCATAACTCTAGCCAAGGATAATATTTTTTTTTTAATTAAGTCAACAAAACAAGACTTAAATCTAGAAATTTAAACAGTTTTATGTATAAATATAGCATGAAAGTTATTTTATTCATACTTAATAAAAGATAAAAAGACATACACAGCATAAAAACAGCTTAAAAATTTGATGAGACACAAACCTGGTCACTCAAAGAAAAAAAATTAAGAAAAAAAAAGTAACAAGTATAAACCAAGTTTGGTGTGAAAAATGATTTTCAAAATAACATAAAAAATACAATATATTCACACAATAATAAAAGGTAACTCGAGCATTTTCTTTCCTGCCAGGCAGGTCCAAACTAATTAATGGTAAGAAGGTCAAAGCCTAAGATAACGCACCTTAGCATGATCATTAAACAAATTGTGCATAACAGTTTGTTCAAATAAAGCACTTAAATCCCCTCAAACATGCAAATATGTCTAATAAAGGAGTATTATATCTAAAGCTAGGTCATTGAGGGTCAAACAAAGTATACCAAAATACCAGATCATTCCTATTAACATCAGTTACGTTGTTACCTGATAGGGATTGAAACCTAAAAAATGCAGCTATTTTACAACCCAGTGAAGTGGCATTGTATCAGTAAACAAAATAGACCACTAGCCACAGAATCAAACATTCCACACAAAGACTAGGATAATAATACAAACAAAGAGAAGGGGAAAAAACATTACAAGATACGATTTAACATTTAACTAATAATTTTAACTTTATCATTAATAGCATATTACTCAATAAACAAATACACAAACTCAAAACTTTTTTTTTTTTTACATTTTATAAAGATTAATATTCTTATATAGATAAACCAACAAAAGATATAACTGAAATCTTTAAACAAAAAAGGATCAAAAGTTTTTCGATTTAAGTACATAATATTTATAGTCATGAACACTAAGTAGATATATAAACATAGAGGACAAAATGCTAAGATTGTCATTTTACAAAATAACTTTAAATCTTTAAACAACAATCTCAAAAAATGGTTAAATTGAATTTAATGAGTATTGTGAGCAATCAGTTGTAAATTTTAGTGTTATATATGTATAGTATGTATATATATAGATATATATCACAGGCTACTTCACATATGTGTAAATATAATTCTCTCAACTTACTTACACAGCTACGACGAAATATACAGCAAAACTACATAAATGAACTACATTTTGTATGTACTTTATCTTAGATAAGGATTTTAATTGACTGGTATAAAAGGCAACTTAGACCTTTTATTTATTACATGTAGCTGCTATGGATAACTCCTAAACAGAATTAGCCACAAAATGCTATACTACACATTGTATGAGATCAACTATAGCGTAGCAAACTTTTGACCTAAATTTTATCTTGTAGTTGGCACTTTTACAGATATGACCTTTAAAAACTCTAAGCCAATAACTACATATTGGCTTCAAAAATAAACAAGAGTCTAAATGCTCTTTGCAAGTATGCTACCTAAGCAAAAAGGTGAAGGTAGTCTATGAAAGAGGCCACAATATTACATAATGTATAAAGTATTTAAAACTAAAACATGATGGTTATTTTTGGCCAAAGTAACCACATAACCTTCTGATGTGATTTTAAGACCACAGCATCGGCTAACTTTAACATATGGACACTCAAATTCTGACAACAGAGTATCTCCTTGCCTCGAAAATACGACAATGTGGAAGCGATTCCCATGGCTATCGCCAACCAAGACATCGCCAGAATCGCTAATATCAATGCCATTAGGGAAATTGGTTACATTCTCAGAACCAATTTTTCGCAAGAACTTCCCTTCTTCTGAAAATACAATCACACAATGACCTTTAAAATCACAAATGTAAAACTCCTTATCAGATACTGCAATATCAGATGGTTCTCTCATATATTCGCTGCAATCAAACCAGTGCAAAAGATCTCCAGTCTCCGATATTATGAAAACAGTAGGAGCCACACTATCAACAGCCACTATTCTTCCTTCAGATGTTATGGCCAATCCAGCTACTATATCAATGTAACGTATAGCTATCTTCTTCAAAAAGTGGCCAGTTTTTGTAAAAATTTGCATTCGGCTTCTCTCACTTCCTCTGTCACAAATTACAAACTTACCTGAACTTCGTATAACAGCAACCTGAGAAATGAAAAATTCAAACAAAATTAAAAGGTTTAAATAAAATTCTAAAATGTCGTCTGGATTGTCAAAAACAACAACCTTTTTATATTTGTTGTCGTCGAGTAATTTTTATAGCTACATTCATTGACATAGCGTTGAAATTTTAGAAGGATAGGTTATAGCCCTAGTCAACCCAATTTGTATGAATATACTAATAGAGTTTGAAAACTAAAATTGATGAAATCAAATATTTTAGACAGGTATATCAAATGCTTTTGGTGGGGACAGGCTCTCCTTGCCTCCACCTAGTTAGTCACCAAGTTAAGAATGCAGTCAAAGACTAAATTCTGAAGACTTTTTGCAGTATTATTGCATAATACAGTAAAAAGAGTCGGCTTTACCAGAAAATAGGTCCACAACAAAATATGATTTTTAGGGGACCCTTTATCTTTTTTTGTTTTCCTATTTTTTGATTAAATGTGAGTTTTACCAAATAAAAATTTCCTTGTCAATCTTTATTAGCAATAAATATCAAATTTTCCCGTAGTTTATTATAAAAAAAAAATACATAAATAAACAAAAAAAAACATGTTACAAATTACAACAAATGATAAAATCAGTTATAACTACTAATCAACTAAATCATAATTATATCAACCTTAACTATAAATTATATCAATTCAAGATTTAACTTAAAGATTTAATAAGTAAGATTGCTTTTTATTTACTTTTCTGGGATACCATAATTGACCTTCCTCTTTACCGGCAACCCCAAACTGATACTTGAAGTCTCCAGTTTTTTCAAACACTTGAATACGGTGATTATTGGTATCAGCCACAATAATTTCTTCGTCCATACCAAGACAAAATCCGTGAGGTGAACTAAATTGACTTTTTCCAGGGCCAAGCTGACCAAATTTGCACCTGTAATGCCCAAAAGATTACATGAGTAAGATCAAAAAAAATAATAATAATATTTTGTAACTAAATTTAAATAGTGATATTCAATTTAAAATAAAAATGAATACCTTATTTGCATAGTTCGCAACTTAACTGATGAGCTTCTTGGAGCTGGATTAAAGGGTTGAGCTCCAATAGGCGATATTGCTGTAAATTGAAAGAAAAAAAGTTAAGAATCATAAAGTTACTTTCTGAATTCCCTTGAATAATGAATATTCAGGTATAATTTTAATGATTATTAATTATTAAATAAACAAATGACACTAAATGAATTAACCTCATTAATTGCAAACGTAACTTTTGTTCTCATGTCATGAATTCAGATTAAATACTAAATTAGGAACTAAACTTAATTAAAAATAAACAAATGATTTCTGACTAATTGACTTTTTGTATCAAATTGGCAAGTTTCACATATTTCATTTGCATATCATTCCAAAAAAATCAATGCCTTTACGACCTGCCATTCAAAGTTCTGTTATAATCCAAGAGAAACTGAATTATCTTTAAAAAAAATTTCAAAAAATAATTAAGGCTTTTTTCTCATTTATGAAAAAAAGTATTATTTCTTAAATCTGTCAAAAAAATTATTTTTATAATTACCTACATATTATTTCATTAAAAAATTAATTAAAATTTAAAGGTTTAATAAAATGGAAGTATATTAGAACAAATTGTTTCTTTTAAAAAAACACTTAAAATGTTCGCTGGAATTTCGGTGTTTGTAAATCATGGGTTATATTTGACATACATGCAATCACTAAAGCATAGAAAAATCATCTCATAAAATAAAAGTAAAAATAGATAGATAAAATATTTTAATATTTTTAAAAAAATCTCACCAGAATGTGACAAAATTGGAGTACTGTTGGCAATGGCAAGCAACGATTCACCATTCAAAACAGGTGCATCTAAAGGACTATTGACTCTTGAATTGGCACTAACAATGCTATTATTACTAAGAAGGCTCTCTAAGCCATCAATAGGAGATGGTGTATTCATCCCTCTAATAACAGAACTCCCTGGAGGAGAGTGAGGCAAAGGAGCAGAGTGAAGGCTTACAACCTGGCTATTAAGAGTGGATGTTCCTGTTGAGGAAAAAAGAACATGAATGTGGATTAAACAACTGTTTCTCCAAGCAAATTCTAAAAAAAATCATAATATAGCATTATTTGCTAAGTCTAGGTACATATAAAGAGCAATTATTTAGAAATGATACATAAATAGTGGGGGGGAAATTAAACTATTACAGTGATTAAAACCACCATTCATTTAAATAAAAAATTGTTAAATAAGTTTGTCATTTAAACTATTTTTTAAGGCAACATATAACTAACATTAGAAAACATCAGATAATAAATATAAATCAACTTATTTAAAAATAACAATTACTTTTTCTTTAATATATATATGGAGAGATAGAGTAGTTAGGACCTATGGGCACCTTGAACCAGGTTCAAATGTGCAAATATTTTAATGCTATTAAATATTTTTTCCCTATTAACATGTTGTACTATAAGTACTACAAATTCTATGAAAGAATCATATGTCTAAATTCCAGTAGGCTATTTTTATCTAACAAATTGCACTTTAGCACTGTTAAGTAGTAATTTTTTGAACTCTCCTACTTTACCTTTTAAAATTTGTTTCTTCGAGAAAGGAGCAATAAATTATTTACAGGGTTTAATCTTTAATTACAAGTAACTATTTAAATCTATATGACAAGAGAAATTATTGTAATGTTTTATGAAACCCAAAACATGGGGTACCCTGGTCCGCTAAACACAGATAGGTTGGATAGAATCAAAATAATTCAGAGAAATTTTATTATTTGTATTATTCTAACTCTAGTTATTTTAGAATAATGAAGATAATCTCTTACAGACTCTTAATATTATATAATTAAATTTGTATGCATTTTTTTAGTATTTTTTTGGGGGGGGGATTCAAGTTGCACAAGTCCGAGATAAAGAACAACAAACAAAATTAATAATAAATTATGTGATAAAGTACTTTAAATTCACATTGTCTACAAATATGCTATGAAGTAATTCTATTCACAAAAATTATACTAAATGAGTTTTATTCACATTAAATTATGTTTATCAGTTCTGATAATATTCAATGTTTCTAAATGATGTTTTTTTTTTTTTTAACTTTTGTTAGACTGGAACAAAATTTAAAATTAAGTTCTACAAAAATTAGTTAAGCCTACACTAATAAATTACCAGGGTTGGGTTTTTGACGTCAAAAAGTGGTTTTTGACATGACAAGGGTATAATACTGGTTTATACTGTCAAAAACCCGTCAAAAATGTCAAAAACTGAAGTTTGCCAAGAAAATATATAAACTTCAAAACTACCAACAGTTGCCATGCATTATATTGAAATTTAATTATACTATAGGTAATCAGCAGGTTTTAAAATATTTTTTAATTAAAATTAAGGTAAAATAACAGATTTAAAATCTCAGAAATTTATATTCAAATGCATGTGCAGAAAAATTTTGCACAAAAATTGTTTAAATATTTATATTTTAAAAAAAAAAAAATTTCTTTTTGATACTTAAGAAAATTAAAAGTTTATTACTATGCATTTTTGACATATAAGGAACATATAACTAATATTTATAAGGAACTTACAAGTTATGTTGTATAAATACAAACTTGATACAAGTGTATGAAAAAAAATTTTAATGTTATACCGAATATCTTTATTATCCAGTATGTTAATTTGAATTTAAAAGTAGTTATATTTGTGAATAATGATAAATATAATTCATATTGTTTATTATATTTATTTATAATTATTACACTTATCATTTTAAAACAATTTTTATCTCTTAATTTTTTTTTCTCCACTTGTATTAAGAATACAAATAATGCATATCTTGAAAGCAAGAAGTAATTATTCAACAGCTGAATATTTAGATATTCAACAAAACTATATAGTATTCAGCAAAATGAAATTCACAAGTATTTGGATAAACTAAATTTTCAGCATAGTAAATGAATAGGCTGAATATACTGTAAATCGACACTAACTACTCTGTGTATTTAACAGAAAGCACTTAAATTTGTATTGTCTTATGTTAAAAAGATTATTAAGAAGATTTAAAAGAATATTAAAAAGATTTTTCTTTAAAAGAAGATGTCTAATGTACAAAACTGCTAATGTTTATCTTTAAAAATGTCTAATTTTTAGTATAATCTATACTATACACTAAATTTGGTTATAAATAAATTTCTTAATAATATCACTGCAGATTTTCAATAACACATGAAAATGAATACATAATATTACAAAAGATGTGAGTTTTCAAAAGTACAAGATTTTGGTTACTATTCAAAATATAAGTGTTTCTTCAAAATTTTAAATTTATTTTTTCTAGAACATATTTAGAAACACTATCCTTTATAAAAAATATATAAATTTTATGTATTAATTAAATTTCACATATGAATATAGGTTTTTGACATTTTCGACATTTTTGACAGTGAGGTTTTTGACGTGACGGTTTAAACCATGGTTTAAACTGTCAAAAACTGTCACATGTCAAAAACCTGCCAACCCTGTAAATTACACAAGAAATTTTGTGTGTATTTTAATTAATAAAAAAAAAATATTAAATATTACTTTCTTTATAAAGAATTGAGAGTAAAAACAAAATTTTTATAAACATAAGATTTTGAGATTACATAAGTACTACATAGCTGCCAACATGGATAGAAAAAAAAACAGTAGATTTTACAAAAAGCAAATTTCATGATAACTGTCGCATAATACACTAAATATTTACATATAGATATTTCTGGTATTTTTATTGTAACCAAAATGCAAAATTTTTTTTACATTAATAACCATAAATGGTCTGTAATATTTTTCATTTATGATTGACATTAAATGAGCTTGAAATCTTTTTTATAATGTCAACTCAAAATTTTAAACAGTAATAGACAAGTGATTCCTTATTAACAGTGAATTTTTTTCTATAAAAAAAAAAACTCTTACCATTACTGATACTTATAGATCCCATCTTAGCAAGTGCAGTTAAATTGTTCAAAGCATTGAATTGGGCAGTAACATCTGGTTCATTTGGACCCAAGAGATGAGCCAAATTAAGAGGTGGACTAGCAGCATTTGAAGAAGTCTGAGATATGGTTCTTTCTGCCATATCTGCAAGTTGAGCTAAATTATACTGTGCTACAAAATTATGTGCTAAGTCAACGTCTAATTCAGGCAGCATATTCTGAGGTGTTATGTCACCAGTAGAGATATTGAAAACTTCACTTTCAAACGAAGAAGTGGAATGCACCGGAGATGTTTTTTGAGACATTTGAGAAACTGGAGAATCTTCCTTCTTAGCAGGCGGCTCAGGCTTTTTCACAAATCCAAATGTCTCCTTAACAGCTTCTTCAAATTTTTTCTCATCAGTTTCAAAGGTCATACCAACTGAAACATCTAGTTTTGGAGTGTTGTTAATCAAAGAGAGTAATCGAGCGCTTACAACCTAAAATCAGAACATTGTATAATAAGAGAATTAATCAAATAGAACTATTCCAAAAACTCTTTCATATAACTTATATTATATTCTACTAATTTTCTTTCTTTTCAAAATGGTAGCTTATTTTTTAACCTTGTATAAATTATTTTACGCAACCGCATGTAGGATGTATTGATGGTCAAGTTAACAAGTTTTAACTTAGGGTTTTTAGATAGGGTGTTAAAACAGGGTTGCCACTCAAATCTGGAGAAAAAAAAATCCCTGTTCATGTTATACGCAATATATTAAGAGGAAACAACAATTACTCTGCTCTTGTGTAAGCTATGTTGGGCTAACTATATTTATTAGTTTCAATTGCTGGAAAAACAGCTGAACATACTTAAATAATGCTATGGTAAACGAAATAGTTTAGTATAGCTGAAATATCATGGTTAAATATCCCATGGATTACGCTTTGAGTGGTCACCATTTTTTAAAAGACCAAAATAAAAAAAAACAAAATTCCTCAGATTTTTCCAGTTTGTAAAGAAAAAAAATCAAAATTCCCTGCATTTTCCCTGTTATTTTAGGTGATTTTTAAATTCCCTGCATTTTCCGAGTTTTCCCAGTGGAGTGGCAACCCTGTGAAAGAACTTAATTTATTAGTCATTTGAACCACTCAGTTGCAATAAGATTACAAACATTCAACTCATTAAAATACAAACAAACTTATCTACAACAAAGACTTAAAAGAATTTGCTGATGGAAACAGTACTCAAAGAACCAGATATTATAAAATAAAAATAATAAAAATTATAACTACTAATAAAATGAATTGAAAATATTTTTTTCTTCATTAGAATGGAAGTTAATATTAGAATGATTAAAACTACTTTTTTTTCTCTTTTTTTCGTATTAAGCTTTTAACATTACTAAAGAGAAAGGTTTTTTCAAAAACACATAAGCATTACAAATGTTCAAGAAATTTCTTAAAAAATACAATAAGTAGCAAAACAACTTTTCCCTTCAATTTTTTTTTTTTTTTTAACTTTGTAAAATCCACTAAGTTCCAGTTAATATCCACAATAACAGTGTTTTAATGCATATGTTAAGAAAAATGTGGAGCACAATTTCTCAAAACCTAGTGTGTGACCCTTTACAGCTTAAAGGAAAAGTTAGTCCAGTCGAAGCTTATACTCAATTGTTAATAAGTTAAAAAACTATGTTAAACAAGCATTCTTAAAGCAAATTTAATAAACTTTTTTTTATAAAAATATAACTAACATGCTAAATTCCAGTACTAACATGCTTACAATACATTTTCCAGTATGACAAATTGGTTTAATAAAAATCGCCACTATAAAAAATCATTAAATTTTTACAAGATAAAAAACTTAATTACAAAAATAATTTTGCATGAGGAAAATCTTTAAAGAATCTGCTTAACTGTAAGGTACAAAATTTGAATATAAAGCTTATTAATGTTGAATCTAATTTACACACCAAAAAATATCAAATCTTTCATGAAATTCTTAAAAGACTTAAAACTAAGTTGAAAAAACCCTATCAAAAACAATTATAATAAAATAGCAAATTGATAAATAAACAATGAAATATAAAGTATTAAAACTTACATGAATTAAACTGAGGATCTCCATAGTATTTCCACAGCTCAATAGTCGATCAGCGAATTTGCAGGCATCATCGATTTTCTCTATGGTTTTCTCCACATTATTGTAAGTATCCATGATCTGAAGTTCAAGAGAAGAGTGTACAGATTCTAACTCTTTGAGGACGAGTTCCTGCCTCTTCTCAAGCACAGCTTTGTAACTTTGGAATGTTTCCTAAGAAAACAGATAATATTGTTAAGAAAATATATTCTTTTTTCAGAAATTTATCTTAAAATTTGCAAATTTATAGCAGAAATTTTAAAAACTCACAGTTGGACGAATCATAAAAATGAATCGAGAGAACATTATAAATCAAAATTATCGTTTCAAGAAAAGATATTTCACAATAAATGATAAGTAAAAACAGTTTTAAAACCACCCATTTGATTTCATGTAAGATTAGAAATACATTATCATCAAGGGGTTGACGTAACAAAGCTTCTTAAATAATAATAATAAGCATTGAAAAATAATTGATAAAAGTATTTATAAAATTTTAAACGAGGGGAAGTTTTAAAAAAATTTTATTTTGAGAAGAAAAATTTTTTTATACTGTTTATATATTTCTAATATTTTTAATGAAGCAAATATGTTAACTGTTTTTAAACTATTGAACTAAACAAACTAAATTTTTTTTTTAAATATAATTGATAAGTTAAAAGATTTACAACTTTTGCAATCTCGATTTAGCAGTACTCTTACAATAATTGGGAGAAGTTTGTAGCTTTAATACATCAATTATTCTTTTTCTCAACCTCTATTGTGTTTTGCTTCTCTATTGAACCTAAACTGTCATTTGATTTAATCTTGTCAACCTCTATCGAAATTTGTTTGAAAATATGAGGGCCACACTTTAATCATTTAAAGGTTATATTTGGCTCCTTGACCTGCAGTCTACTGAACTATAGTCGAGATTTGTCCAGCTACAAATTTTGAATCACAATTCCAACATAAACATGACATTTTTTAAAATACAAATAAATGCATTTATACTAATTTGCACAATTAATGAAGTCACAAAAAATAAAAGCAGCTATACTGTGTTCAACACAAATAACATTAAAAACTCAATAAATTAATTACTTTTAAAATAAGGAAAACGATCACTGGAGTGCCTAAGTATTTAAGTGCTGAAGAAAATAAACTCCATGACTGTCAACATTCTTCAAAATCATTACCTTTTCAAACATGTTTTTGATTTAACAATTTTAAAAACTCATGAAATAATTAAAATATGAAAATGCATTTAAATAAGAAAAAATTACATTCAGATTTTAAATACCTCAATATGAGATTTTGCACTATCTCGTTGCATCTGAAGCTCTGACAAGTGTGTATCCAAGACAGAAGTAGCTTTGTCACAAAATTCCACTTTAGTTTTGCTTTCAGTAATAAGACATTTTATTTCATCTCTTTGTTTTTTCTCAGCTTCAGTAGCTTTTTCATAACAATGTTCTGGCTGTTTATGCTCAATAATCATGCATTCATTGCAAATAGGCACCTAATAATAGAAAATCACATATTGTTTTTTTTTTATTCATAAGTCAAAAACACTAATTTTAGCTTTTTGCAGAGATTTCATATATTTGCTTATATAAGAGCAGCAATTGGGAAACAACTATAAAATGCAAACAAAAAACAATTGTCAGAAAAGCTTTTTTTTTTCATCCGGAGAAAACTTGCTTTTGGATTTTTTCCTTTTATTTTTAAAATCATTTCTTTTTTCTTTAATATTTTGAGATTAAGATGTTACAAATAGCTACAATGAGATTAAAGCAGAATAAATTATTACAAAAAATTCTGCAGAATCACAGTTGAAAATTACAGTTTAAGCGTATTAATATACATGCATATATATTTGTATACATAAACTAGAATATTTACGTCCAATACACTATACAGTTGAAATAATATAACTAATGTCTCTATTGCAGTCTTAACAGGAAAGGGGGGGAAAAAACAGGTTTTTACTTAGAAAAAGTATAGGACATCCTTTTAAGTACTTACTGGTTGCAAATCAAATTACCAGTGTTAACAAATAAAGACCAAAGGGGAAACACCTATTATGTTTAGGAGAATAGATTCTGAGGAGAAAAAAAAACTAATTTGCTTACAAGACTTAAGATTTTTCCCGCAGGTTCATCTTCACTGTATAAAAACACTCAAAGAAAGCCAAATTTTCAGACAGATGACAGTTCTCAGATTATACAATTTTATTTAATTATGCTAATTACCTCTATTTAATTTATACACAATGAATAATATTTTTAATTTATATTTTAAATACTCAAATTTGAAAGAAAGTAAAGTTTTTTTCCGCAGTTATATCTTTTAATAAAGCAGGCCTTTATTGGAATAAGTAGCCAATTCAATATTTAAAATTTTAATCATAATAATAAACAAGACAATATTTTTGCACAAAAAAAAATTTCTCACTTGAATAATTTATTTTGAGTGACATATATTTTATTCATAACTTATTTTGAACATTCTTTTTATCAACTAAACATATTTTGTCAATAGAATATAGTTTCATCAAAATAAGTAACACATGGGCATATATACTCAATTATTTTAACTAAGATTTAATTAAAAAATAGCCTATTCAGACTCTTGGACTCAAAAACTTGGCAATTTATTTTTAGAATCATCCTTTTGATTTAACCAAGCGTGATTAAATTTTGTTTGTAAGAGGAATTTTGTAGAGAAAAAAATGTTCTCATCAGCAAAGGTTTTAAAAACAAAAATGTGCACCAATAAATAGAGAGCAAACTATTTATTACTTGTTCGACTGCATGTGAAAATAGGAACACAAGAACAGTTAAATATTTAATCTGTGCAAAAAAAATATTGTTCAAGCTTCCCACTTTACTACAGAAATCAGCAGGTAAAACTATCAAATACAGTTCATGCTTCCCACTCTGCCATAGAAATCAGCAAGTAAAACTGTCTATTTTCAAGGTGAAATTTAAAAGGTAATCCATTCGAAACGAAAGTTAAGGTCATGTAATAAAAGAAAATACAACCTTTCTTCTCCTCTTTGAAAGGTTGATTATCAATTTGTTCCTTATCAACAAAAAAAAAATTTCCCCAATAAATCAGTGATGATGCCATATTTTTTTTTAATCTGTTAATTTATTTCTTACTTCTTCTGGGATCAGAGTTTCTTACATTTTTCTTGGAATTCTTTTTGCAGTGGAGCATTTCAAGGAAGCCCCAAAAATGCCCAGGTCAAAATTTTATAGGACAATAATATAGGAGGAAGTATAGGAATAATATATGAGATACAGGAAAAATAAGATAGAATCAAAATAATATAGGACCAGGGGTCTGTCTAGGTTCTTCTGAGAGGTACCTATTTTGTGAAGATTTAAGACATAATTTGTGAAAATTAAAAATTATAATAAAAAATCAACACAAATATGGTAAAAATATGTTATCGTTTCTATGAGAATGAGCTCTTGCTCTATAACGAAGTATTATTCGTAATAGAAATCTAAATTTTAACATCCATAAAAAAAATTTCAAAATAATGAACCATCTACTATTTTACTATTAATTGAAGAAAATTAAAAAATTGTGTATTTCTTACATGACAAGTGTGGCAATAGTATTTCATGATTTCTTCAGGATGTGAAGGACACGAAACTGGCTTGTGAATGGTAGTAAAGCCATCATTTTTCTTCAGCTCATCAAAAGAGAGTACCTAAGTAGGGAAAAAAAATATAAACTTTCCTAGAAAAAAAAAACCCAGAGAAAACAGAAGAAAGCAAGCAAATGAAATCGATTTTGTTATTTATTAAATGAGATTTCTTAGTTGTATATAAATAAGAGTCTATGCATAATTACTAATCAGTAACTATACATTATTTGGATCACAACTGGTGCTCACTTGCACTTAAAATGTTTACCTAAAAATGCCTTTCTTTTCTATCTTTTTTTTTATCCACTGTATAAATTTAATGGTTAAGGAGACGCAAAGCAGTCTGCATGAGTACTAAGAATTCAGAGCAATGGTGTCAAACCTAACTCAATTTGAGAAAAAAGACGAAACTTTTTATTTTAGAGACCACTTTTTATTTTACATAAACCCAGAATTTTTTTACACAATTTTATAAATTCAAAATTAATAGTAAATATTATATTTGATTAATAATAAATCTTTTTCAAATATATTGATTTTTTATTTTCACTACGAATTAACCNCAGGAGGATCCCGGGTTTGAATCCCGATTTGGGCATAAATGTAATTTATCCTTCCTTTTCATCAGTCTTTGCAATGTTGGGGTGATGCAGATCCATCTCATACCCGCGAAAAAGAGATCAACAATGCACTGCCATCCGTATGTTCAACATATATATATACAGTGGAACCTGTCTAAATTGACCACCCTCGGGACCAAGTCAAATGGTCACTATATAGAGGTGGTCACTTTACGAAGACTCTTTAAAAAGAACTCTTGAAATAAAACTAGTAGAAAATGGTCACCTTACTCAGGCGTTCACTTAACCCAGGTGGTCACTTTTACAGGTTCCACTGTATATTGATTTTTAATTTTCACTATGAATTAACCATATTGGTTTTTTGCATAGGATACTGATTTTTTTCAAGCTGTTAAAGGAAAAACTGTAGAGTAAGGCCTAAACTTGAAAAAGACACATAATACTCAAGAGGATATAATATGTCTTATCAGGGGTCTGTCTAGGTTTTTCTGAGAGGTACCTATTTTGTGAAAATTTGGACATAATTTGTGAAAAATTAAAAATTATATTTAAAAATCCAACACAAAAATATGGCAAGAATGTGGATTTATCATTTCTTAAGGAATACAAAAATAAAATTTTAAGAAAAAGTATCTTGTGAAACTACCGTTTCTCCTAAAATTAAATTTGTGAAACTACCGTTTTTCCTAAAGTTGAATTTGAGAAGGTACCGCTAAACGGTAGTTAATTCGGTCTGGACAGACCCCTGCTTATTATTTAAAGAAAATAGGATTTTGGTATAGTAATTGCGCTAAAATACACTATTTAATTATGCAGTAAAACAAAACTTACAAATTGAGTGATGTAATTTTAATTTTTAACTAGAAAATGTAAAATGAATTTTACTTACAGTATGACTCTCAAAGCATCTCATAAACTGATGAGCAGTGACACAATTAGGGCACAAAAATGTTGCACACTCAGTACAACGAGCAACAGCAGTTTCTTTAGCTTTGCAGCTTGTGCATATAATTTGTGTTTTCTCCAAAGCTCTCAAATCCAGACGATTACATTCAATGTAGTCTAATGGCAGAGCAGAGACTCCCTTTGAAGAGAGCTAATAAAACAATTTAAAATTACTTAATATTTGAACAAAGATCATACTAAGAGTAAAAAAAAAGGTTATTTCCTTTAATTACCTTAGTTTCTTGTCCACAATCTGGACATTCAATCAAATTTTGTACATATCCGTTTTCAGCAATCTTTTCCTTTAAACATTCTTCACAAAAAACATGAAGACATGATAAAACTCTAGGTTGTTCAAATTTACCTTTACACATGTGGCAACTATCAGTTGTATCCTCCTCACTTTGTGACAAAGATATGTCAGGAGATTCCATTTTAAACTCTATAAGAAAATGAGTCAAGAATTAATCAACGATAAAGATTGTTAAACTAAATAAGTTATATTGGCTACCTCAGGTAAAAAAAATAAATAAATAAACTAGCTAAATAAAAAAGTAACAAAGCACCAAAAAAGTAACAAAAGTATAGTACAGATTGCTGCAGTGACATCATAATACAGTCAAAAATGGTCTAACAGCATTCAGAGTCACAAATATGACCGTTTAAAATTGTCTCAAGGAAGTCATGTGACTTTGCCTTATAAGTCTTCATGACTCTTCACATAAAAGTCTTTCTGACTATTTATTCTGACTTTTGTCATTTGGTAGTCCCAAATATGTGTTACTGAGATTAAAGTCCCTAAGAAACTTTGCTGATTGAAAATAATTGTCAAAAATGATTATTTACTTTGAATGAATGAATTTAACAATTGCATGCAAAATTTATTTGCTTTGAAAAGTCTCAGGATATAGAGAATTAAGCAAAAAATAAAGTTAACATTAAAGGTTCCTAATTTTTTATTGCTCTCAGGACCTAACTATCAAGGCCATATTTTTCAAAGTGCAGCTAGTCACAAATCTTAAGGATTGTGAATCCAAAAATATCAAGGGAAAGAAGGTACATTAATTCAAAGTAAGTAGGTTTTAGTGTATCATTTTATAATTAAAAATATAGTGTTCACTAAATAATTATATTTGGGATCATCCCTTTAAAAGCCATTTTCTAGCGTGTGAAGATACAATCACTAAATCAAAAGTTATTTAATATATTAAAAATTGTTTTTGTGCAAAGCTCTTACCAAATTCATGAAATTTTATGCTTCTAAATTTTTAATTAATACATAGAATTTCTAGAAAATTATCTGCAACAAGCATGTGTTGTCTTAATCTATAATTTTAGAGAAATTAATGAAATATAGCTATGCAGAACTTTAGCTATTTTATTAAAACTTCAATCTTCTTGTAGCTATTGCAGTTGATTAAAGTGACAAAAATAATCCAATGAACAAAATAAATTATGGTTACTATTTTTACAAAATTAAATTTCGAATAACTGCAAATTAATTGTATGGATCAGCTTTAAATTATTTGCCTAAGTATAAATACAAATAAGCAGCTCAGCCACATAGATATTTTTGATTTTAAAAAAATATTTCTAATTTAGGATATTTTTTTTTTTTTTTTTNTTTTTTTTTTTTTTTTTTTTTTTTTTTTTTTTTTTTTTTTTTTTTTTTTTTTTTTTTTAGTTTTTTGTTACTTTTCCAACATTTTGAACAGGGTTCCCATTCAATTTCAGAAAACAAATTCCCTGACTTTTTTTTCAGCTATTTTCAAGGAAATTTCAAGGAAAAATGAAATCAAACTTTCATCAGAAAACTTTGATTCTTTTAATTGTAATGTGAAATATTAGATTTTTGAGTATAAAATATCATTAAATGAAAAAAGGAACATTTCAGTTTGACTAAAATGTGAAATGTTTACAAATAATTGCTATAGATGTCCGAATTATTTAACTCTAATCTCAATAGCTGATTACTGTTACTCAAAATTTTAAGACTGGTTATTTTCAAAGTATGATACGGGAAAATTCCAGGTTTTTGTATTAAAAAATTGCAATTTCTCCCAACTATTCCTTGATTTTTGGAGTTAAAATAAAATTCCCTGACAAATCCAGGTTTTCCATGTTTTCTCAGTGGAAACCCTGTTCAAAGAACAATTAATTTGGCTCCCTTAATCACATATTTTTCTATCAATTAAGAATATTTCAGTATTGTGATCTGTCACACTAACTGCTATCACCAAGGTACCAAACATATAATACACTTGCAATTTTTTTTTTTTAAAAAAAGGTGTAGGTATTTGCCTATGGTTGGATTCGAGTTGGTCCCTTTCTGTAATATTTTTTTACATATTATTATTTTTTTTTTGCAAGCCACACAGAAGTTGCCAAGACTTTGCAATCATTCTGCTACAAGTCACAATAAACAGCACTTTTTTAATATTAGATGAAAATATGAATTTTATAAAAAAAATACTTTAACAATGCAAACAAAATTACTATATGAATTGGTATTTAGAAATTGGCATTGAAATTCCTAAAAAAGTGCTAATTTTCTAAATTATTTGCCAAAAAAATTCGAGAGAAATATGGAAAACTTTTCAGTTTAGCTTTTTGGAACTTTTAACTAAAAGATAATACAGAAAACATCAATTTAATTGGGGGGGGGAAATTCCTTCATTAAGTTTTACTTTCCGTAGAATTGCTCAGTACACCTGGAAGTCACCAAATTTTGGCAATGATTTTAGCGCAAGTACCGATACAGAAATTAAGATTCTAAATTAAATTGACAAAAACCAATACTTCGTTAATAGTAGTTCTATAAACAATTTTGTTGAGATGGCATCTATAGGATTGTATTTCTTAGTAAAGTCATCGAGATTATTTTTAACCTAATAAACTGTAATTCCAAAAAAGAATTATATCAACTTGCGGAACGATGAAGATCATTTCATAAATACATCTACCGCCTTCGACATTCATACGAAATCAGATCACAAAATCAATAGACTTCTTATATACTACAGCATGCATCATTTTTGATTTATTCTTTAAAATAAAATTTTACTGTATTCACTTAGCATTCAATATATCACATAAAATGAAACAAATGCCTACCAAGTGCCTAATTCACTATCTTATAAATCATGCATATCAGCAAACTAGGCATCACTCGCTCAAGGGTAAAAATTCAATACCCTTTTACATACAAATTCAATACAAAAATATAGTTAGAAAACGTTTCACTTTGGCAAAGAGCCATAAATAAATAAACAAATGATTTTATAAGAACTTTCAATACATATTTAAACACTAAAAAATAAATCAAGTTAATAAACTACTAATTGACTACGTACGCTGCGGTCGCAATGATTATAAGAGAACCTTTCATATGCAGTATACACAAAGATTATAAATACATCATATAATAAATAACAATATAATTTCTAATAAACGAAATTAATTTTTCCCTTAATTACTTATTAAACCCCGTACATAAACATATAAAATGCTGTAACCGTTAAATTTTAATTAGCAATATCCTTCAAGAAAACGACACGAGATAAGCTTCATGAAATACGCTTATATCTAAACTAGCACGGTAAGCAAGGTAAAAAATATCATTGGTTCTTCTCATGCATGTGACAATCAAATTCGGACTAACATTACTTTACATTTAAGTTCGACTCTTTTATTGGATTGGCACTGAAAATGATTTAGAGCAGCCAATGATTGACTTAAGAACATTTTAACACATGTCCAATGGTATTCATTTCGTAATGGATGGTTGATAGTGTAAAGCTAAGCACAGATGGCGCTAAGAGATAAAATTCGTCATAAGTCATCCGGGTTATATTATTTGATTGATTTTTGTACCCAAACTATTGATTTTTATTCCAACACGTGCCATCCAATATTATTATACAAATTATAGTGCTTACACTATAAAGCATTCTTTCTATTTGAATTTCAACGAAATAAACGACAGATGAATTTGGATGACTTTGCAAGCATGCTGTGATGCAATCCAAAAAATAGCAAACTGTGGCATTTTACACAAATATAGCCAAATGAGAGATAACACTCAAAACATGGCAAACCTTACACATTATGTTTTGATATTAATTTTCTGAAATTTGTTTTAGGCTCGCAACCAGCTAGAATTTGTAATTTACAGGAAACTCTAATGAATAGTAAATTAACGCGTAAATTTAATCAAAAAATTACAATAATAAAGCTTCGTAGAATATTAAGACCGTTCACACATCATCTCGAAAGCATAACATAAGCGAAGGAATATACCGGAAATTTTCTAAATATTCCCCGGTTTTAGGAAGCTTGTTATTGTTTACATTCAGTCAACTATTCATAAATTTTCATTATAGTTTGTCTAAAGTAAGAACTCCCCAAGCCATTCGTCTGGACATATATGGTAATGAGGTATAACAAGCTCAAGTAGGGCACGGGGTCATTATTTAGGGCAAGTTTTGGCTCGGGCCGGCGAGAGAAAGGGAATATTTTTCTTCGGAATATTGTGTTAAACATAGAGTGGAGAAAAGCTACCTTCCCTGAAATTAGCTATTCTTGTTTCAATAGCAATAGGCGGCCTCAGACTTTGTGGAGGGGGGAGTTCTCACCATAAACAAACTGTACAAAATTAAATTAAGATTGAGTTTTACAGTCACTCGAAGAAATTCTTAAGCATCGTGACCCCACCAGAAAAAAAATCAAATACATGAAATGACTCTTCTTTTGATTGAAAAAAAAAATAATAAAATTCCACTAGTTTAACACGCCTGTGGTTATGAATGTGTGTCTGAAATGTTTAATAAATTTCCAAATCCCCGACATGCTTGTCCTTTTTTAAAAGTAATGGAATTTTTTTTTTAAAAAGTTTTGTTTTTGAATTTTTCCAAATTCAGTATTTAGACTCTAAATTTTAGAGTATCCTAAAAAATGCCTACCGACATGGTTGCAACTGTAAGACAATGAAAAAAAATTTTAAGCAGTTGAAATTTTCAATGTGTCAATGTGATTCTCACAAGCGTTGAAATTAAAAATTATCGTGGGTGGAGCCTAGAATGTTTCCAAAAAAATGGGACAGGTCCCAAATAGGGGGCTTGTCCCACTTTTTTGAAGACCAAAGATTCAGTTCAAAATTTCACAAGGCGTACAGCTACCTTCAAGCGGGCTGCATTAATGCTCTGCCAACCAAAGATCCAGGCAACTCTTGGGAAACTCGTGGCAGCAACTGGTCCTGAAAGGCTTCAACATTTCCATCAAACAAATTGAACGAAACTCTATCTCTTTGATAAACCAATCACTAATGTCTAGGGAATATATGAAATTGATGATTTCTACGGCCATTTTCAAGATCAGTTTGGTGCTCGGTCTGTAACCTCATCCTTCTACTAAAATTCTAACGATGCGTTTAATCCAATCCATGCCAAACGATTTACAGGTCCTCCATGCCGGGAACCAGTCAGTTCTTAATCCTCCAACTTTTCAGGACGTTTTCCCATAGAAAAAATATTGAACATGGTCCAAATGTTCAGTGAGGGGCATTCGATAATTCATATCTACCATCTCAGGCTCTTGCATTTCCTCCTCAGCCATCGGCAATTGGATCAAACTAACTCGCGTCTATCAAAAGTGGTAAATTGGTTTGTACTATAATGGTTATAGCTCATTTAAAAAAAAAATGACTTTTGAAATGTAGCAAACGAAATGATACAAGAATTCTCCTTGCCGCTGCTTACCCACTGAGCAGAGGATATAAAAATGGGGTCCTCAAAACTATCAGCACAAAACGGAAACTCTGTAGCTCAACTTATCAGACATCAGATGCATTTTGAGTGACAACAGGGTAGTCTGAAAGTATTTTTTAAAAAGGAAAACAATTTCCCGAATTACCACAGACAGGATGCATTTTGAGTGACAACAGGATGGTGTGCATCGAAACGGAAAGCAATTTTCAGATGTACTGTTTTTAAGAAAACAGTATTTCCTAGTGCATCGGTACGGGATGACTGAAAATAATCATTAGTGCGAAAAGCAATTTTCTGAAAAACAAAAAACCTTCAACTATGAAAATTCGCAAATCCTCTCAAACTAAAACCACCACAAAAAAAAAAATCTTGATGGTTCATGCATGTGTGAAATAAACACAATATAATTCCGAAACAATTATTTATTTACGTGAAATTTAAACAATTTACAGACCTGTAATAAGGTTACGGTAGAATAGGTTCTACTGGCAGGTAAATTATGAAATGCCATGCATCACAGCTACCCACCAATGGCAGTCTTCTCTTCTAGAGCACACACACTGGCCGAAGGGTTTTAATGAGTTCTTTTTAAATTGCAGTTTTCTTTGTCTAATTGGATGAAACTCTGGCAGAGTGTCCATCATGGCAATCAACTTGGTGATGGTATATGTCATAATCATATGGGCCACTCGCATTTGAAGCATTTTTTCCAACAAAACTTTCGAACATGTCCGCCCATGTAACGGTACACGTATCCATTAGTCATACTGCGACCATTCGACTGCGTGCATAGCACGGCAAATATTTGGTTTTGAAGCGATGTAAAGTTGTTTTTTTTGGAGGGGGAGGGATTGAAATGTATGATCTTTCGTAATAATCCTTTTTAATGTTTTCACTTTTGTCACCAATTGTTAGGTACTCTATTTACATCTCACTAGAGTTGCGTAATGGGCTATTGGCCATGGTCTTGGAAACATCCCTGAGGATTATCCGAATACATGCCACAGCAATTTTGATTCTCTGCAGAGGGGATGGCTACCTTGCTTTGATAGTCCGGCGACCTGCACGGGAAGTCGAGCACTTTACGGTAGAAAAATTTAACGAGGACCAATACCACGTACCCTGGGTTCTTACGCATGCTGATCAAAGTGGTCATTCACCCGCTTACTGACCGGACCGCAGCCAGTGATGCTTAACTTCGGTGTTCTATTGGGAACAGTGTCTTCACAATCAGTCCACTGCGGGATTGTCACCACCTGGAGAATCACTGTTACTCGTGGGTAATTTACAGAAGGAGGGTACTTGTTCACTTTTGCTGGAGGAAGGCACTGGTTCAAATTTGCTAGGTGAGTGACCACTTTGATCAGCCTGCGTAGGGATCGAGGGGTGCGGAATTGGTTCTCGTTAAACTGTTCAACCGTAAAGTGCTCTACTTCACGTGCAGGTCGTCAGGCTACCAAAGTAGGGGAGTCATCCCCTTTAAAGAGGATCGAAATTGCGATGGCATGTCTTTGGATCATCCCCAGGGATGTTTCCCAGACTGTCGAAAATAGCCCATTGTGCAGCTCTAGTGGGACACAAATAAAGTATCTACCTACCTCAACTTTGCTGGAAACACTACAAATCTTCTCAACTTTGGTGGAGACACTACGAGTCTTTTTAACTTTGCTGGGCATTTTGTCACTCGAGCAGGAAAATTTAATGTCATCAGCTTGAATCATTCACTATGTTTTGCCGCTCCGAAGCTGGAGTGTCTCGGCCAATCAACCATTTTCTTTTCATCATCCACAGCTGAAATCCTGGGCTTGGGTATCCTTTTAGGTGTCTTGGAATGAGGGGCCACCAAAACTATGGAACGAAACTTGGATTTGACTGATTGTGGAGGAATCACCATCAGTCAAATTCCGTGTTGGTGGAGGAAGAGAAATTGGCTAAGGTTAGAAGCGAGAAAGCGGCGAAATCATAAAGCATTTCTACCACTTCGATTTCCAAATATCATAATGCCATCGCTTCCGCAGCAATCCTGCCGGTGGCAAAAAAAGCGGAGTGGATGTTGCAAATAGATAAAGGCAGAAATACAATAAGAAAAAAAATTATGACATTTACAATAAGTGTAATAAAAAATCAAATACCGTTAATAATAAAATAAAGAAGGAAATGCTTTTTTTTCCGGGGAGGGGGGGAGAGAAAGTTAAAGCTAACGGGTCGTGAACATATACATAATACAAAACTCAATTTCTTTTTTTCTTTCTTCTGATCTTAGACTCTTAAAATAACCCTTTATTTTCGGGTTTAAAAATCAAAATAAGTTAAATATGGACCTATAAATTTTAGAATGAAGAGCAATCAAATGTTGAAAATCTCTAATTGTTGTCTTTAAATTCTATCAGTAAGTTTTCACAGATTAAGTACTTCATTTAACCAAAAAAATACAACGAAAAAAATTATTATTGTAAATTATTAAGTCCAAGAATCAGGATTAATCTGAAAAAATAAGAGAAAAGAAAAAAGTGACATTTACGGAAGAAGCATTTTCGTATGCACTGACTTGTTAAATGATACCATCAAATGGTTCCCTTTAAATGAGAAAATATATTTTCTACTGTTTGGAATTAAACTCTGAAGTTGGTGCACGTACGTGATAATCAGTCAATAGCGCTGGGCGATGTTAAGAGTTTGGCATCACTATGTATCGCCACTCTAACATCGCGATATTTAGCATTGCGATGTTTCGTTACACTGTTTTATATTTGGTATAGAGTAATTTTGTATT